CTGCAGCAGTGAAGAACCTTAAAAAATATTTAAGATTTTTCTTCAAAAATTTCACTGTATATTCTTGAAACATGTATAAAAATATTCTTAAAATTTTGAAAAAATTGATAAAGTATCTTTTTTTATAAAAATTCCCAAATATCACCTTTTTTACGCCATTACACTAGGTGTGCCCCTTAATGACGAAGTTGGTTTAATTTGCGAGTTGTCGAAGATTTTAAAATAAATATTTATAATTCTATCTATAAAACAACTTAGCATTTTGACTATAAATCGCCAAGGCCTTGCATAGTAACTTTTTGAAATTAATAACAATTATGATTAAAACGTTTTGAATGGTTTCATGTCGAACAAATGTATTTCAATTTTGAAAAATATTTAAATTACGAAAACTAATATTATTTTTTAACAAAAATTTCTCTAGCAAGCAAATCTAACTTTTGGATAAAATCATGTCAAAAGCGTTGTGAAAAATTCGTGTTTAAAAATTCGAAGCGATGGGAAAGTGTGCCAAGGGTTGTTATAGACAAAAATTGGAAAAAAATTTTTTCAGTGATTTATATTAACATTTTCTGGAAAATTAAAACAAACACACAATATCGCAGCACATTCTTTAACCATCCCATTTTATAATAATAATAATAATAATAATAATAATAATATAATTTAATGACAAAACTTTTAAAGTTGAAAACTTGAAGTCTTGAAAGGACTATTGCTTGCATATACATATATTAAAAATAATATAAAAAATGGTACTTACTTATTAACGCCACCGCAGCGAGACCTTTTTGTAAAGCCCTTATTTCCATTTGGTGGCCTCACCCAGCTAGATCCCAACTTAATGAACAAAGGCTACAACTGGCACTTCTTGTTCGCTAATTTGTGTGAAAATTTTTTAGTAAGAAAAACCGCCAAATCTATGACTGCGACTGCGTTTTGTATGATATAAGTATCAAGTTTTGCCCACAGAAGTTGGTTCAGTGACGTCAGCGAATGTCGTAACATTCTATTCTATAAACCTTGTATATTTTTACAGGACCAATGCGAAGTAGTGCATTTTCCACATATCTTTGAAAAGAGTGATGTTTTAGCTGTTATGTTTTTGGCAACACTGGTGAAGATCAGTCTGTAAGAACTACCAATGCATCCAGAAAAAGTCAAAGTTTGGTGCGATTTATTGCGGTTTATTGCAGGTGGCATCAATGGACCGTACTTCTTCAAAGATGATGCGAATCGTAACGTAATGGTGAGCGCTACCGTGAGATGATATTAAACTTTTTTTGCCCAACTTTTTTTCCACCAAAACGGTGCCACATGCCACACAGCACGCGTAACAATGGACTTATTGAGAGGCGAGTTCGGTGAACATTTTATTTCACGTGCGGGACCGGTCAATTGGCCACCTAGATCGTGCGCTTTAACGCCTTTAGAATATTTTTTGTAGGGCTATGTTAAATCTAATGTCTATATAGGCAAGTCTTCTTCAATTGACGCATCGGAGGACAATATTGAAGCATTTATTCGTGAGATACCGGCCGAAATGTTGGAAAGAGTATACCAAAATCGGACTAAGCGGATGAACCATTTGAGGCGCAGTCACGGTCAACATTTGCATGAAATAATCTTCAAACATTAAATTCTATGAACCGTATTATCGATTCAAATAAAGATTTCATGCACTATTTAAAGTGTCTTCTACTTATGGCGTATGATCAGAAGGACCTTTCCGGTATGTGGACTTTAGAATGAACTGATCGAAAAAATCTGATTCATTTTTAAATCGTTCGTGGTGAACCTGGGACCACTTAAGGGATTTCCGGTCGAACTCCTCCTTCAAATTGTGTAGCGCGTCTTCATGCTTCTTCTGTCAAATGGAGAGAACTACAGTTTATTTTAAGAGGGGTTGACATTCACCCCTCCAAATGTGTTTCTGACTCATCAAAAAAATCAATCAGCCCATCAACAGGTCATTCGCATTCAATGTGTCCCCAAAAGAAATTAAAATTAATTTTTTCTATATTTTATAATTTAAGTAGTAAGCAATTTACTAAGGGAGTGTGGAACGACATTTCAAGATCCCTATGCTATTAGTTTTCGGAAAGGTCACAGCATCGTCGCTGCAGACTGCCCATGATACAAAATTTCTATAAGGTAGTTTCACTTTGAAATTTTTGTGGTTATCTTCTAAGCAGATGCCATAATATTGAATACACTTAGGAATCTATTAAAAATATCTGTTTCAAGCAGTTTGCCTTAGGCGGCAGAAGTAAAAAAAGGATTTGCTAGATAGATAGTCAAATGGATTTGAACATTTTGTTTATGCTTTTTCAAAACTTAGACTAATCGGTTTTTGCCAACTATATACGAAACGTCCGTGGTCTGCGACCCTGGTCATAAGGATACCCAGGGAACTGCAGGGTCCATGTGGTGACCGAATTGGGATAATAATAAATCTGATAAGCTCTTCAGTCCGTTATCGATTTCTCGAATATTTCTTCTCCTATTGGCGATTTGAAACCGCTGAACCGCTCTTTGACCAAGCTCTTCCTCCAATTTATAGGTTTTCGTCTTGATGTTTTTCCAACAAATGGAGAGACCTACAGTACAAAGTAAGCCGACTCCGGCTGATGGTTTTTTTTTGTGAGGAGCCCCATAAATGCAATCGGAAGGGTTTACATTCTCTGCTAAGGGGGGACCGCATTTAGAAAATTTAGCTTAATTTTTAATTTGAAATAAATTTCTATAACTTTTTGGTTGTTAGTATAACACCAGGATAAGCTTTTTAAATTCATAATTAAATATATAAATATAATTCAACATATACTGATTATTTAATGTACCTTGGCTTTCAGAGGGCAGCTTATCCCTGCTCACAAGCAGTCACATTTCGACGTCATGCTGGACAATTACGCTGGTAGGCTGTTGCCAAGCCGTGCCATTACGCATTGGTACTGTTACTATCGGAAAACCAAGATTTGAGGTTGGAAGTGTTCCCAGGTAATGACAAAAACATGTGGTTGAAGTGACAATAAGACTCACTGAATGCTAGAAAGCGCTCGATTGTCTCTTCAGCTACGGCTACGACCACACAAAAGTAAACCATACTAATCTATATAACTCGTTTGTTGCTCCGGATGGCACACACACACAGAGGATTGAATCCCAATGGAGAGTTTGGAAATTATTCCTCTCATACGATAACTTTGCTTTGCACCCCTCAAGGTGAAAATTACTCACCACCGCTATGGTGCTTGATAGCGAACACGCTGATTAGGAAACTGCGTAACATAGGTTATAGCGATTCAGACTTGAACTCTGATAAAACCGAGGTAGTTTTATTTACCAGGAGGCACAAACCGCATTTCTTTAAACCACCCAAACAAAGGGTGTGGAGATTACCCTCTCTTCCGAAGTCAAATACCTTCGGATAATCTTAGATAGCAATCTAAACTGGAGCCGAAACACGGCAGAAAGATCAATCTTCACCTGCAAAACGGCGATAGGAGCGAGATAGGGCTTAAGACCGATTATCGTGCATTGGATATGCACATCGGTAGTTAGACCAATCCAATTCTACGGAGTCACAGTCTGGTGGCCGGCACTCGCTAAAATCACCTTCAGGAGCAAATTAGAGAGAGTTCAAGGATCGGCGCCCATCCTGATAACGGTAGCATTGCCATCAACTGCCTCGAAAACACTGCTAGCTCTTTTCAACCTCATTCCTCTGGACTTTTACGGGAAACTACAAACGGGTTGCAACAATAAGATTGAATTCAATTCAGTGTTCTCAGTAAGCTTGAGCATGAGAATACTGTATCATTTCAGCTTTTTCCAGGCGGAACTCTTCGGAACAGCAGGACAATCGGTTACTATTCGCTCCGACATTCTGGCTGCAATCAGATCTCTTCGATGTAACGGTACCACGTCAAAAGTGGCCATAAACTGTAGTAACACTTTCAACAAAGTACAGTACTGTCGTACAAGCAGCTCTCGCCGAAGTTGAACGCGAAAAAATGTAAACACCTTATCCTTCTGGACTGGTTCTACCGTAACATAACGACTGCTATAAAACTGGGCACTGTTTAATGTTGCTCCACGGGATTAGGATGGGCTTTTACTCTAACGATTTATGCAGCGGCTGTAGGGTCAAAGAAGAGGAAAAGACCATCGAGTACTACCTCTGTTACTGTCCGGCCTTGACATCCGCGCGATACAAGTTTCTTCGGAAGCACTCTTCGACTATCTCGCTGAGTTGGCCTTTACAAGACACACGAAATGGTTCGACCATTTGAGAAGGTGAAGGCAGGAGCCTCAGCGGTATCCCAATGGGCCTATTGGTCTCAGTGTGCTGGAGTTGACCATCAGTCGCATCAACTCACAACCCACTAATATCATTAACATGGTACTTATGGGGAAGAAAAAACAGGTAAAATGCAAAACTTTTTGAGGCAGTAAAGCATACCTATAAAGTCCAAAATTTATATTTTAATACTGTTATTTCAGAATTTTCATTTTATATGTGACAGCACATAAAAAACCTTTCAATGTAATTGTTTTAGGTGGAAAATGGTAGTCTAAAAATCTAAATTTCTTGCAATTTCAACTTTGAATATATCTCAAAAACTGTAAGTCTCCGATGGGTTTAATTTTCGGTGCCTGAAAGCAAATGGAATACCCTACTACTCCTTATAAATCATGGTCCATTATTAGAAAAGTTCCTTAGACGTCTTACATTTCATACAAATCATTCAAGCAAATTTCAAATTTTCGGTAGAGAGCCTGTTCAGTATCTCCATTAAATATAAAAAATTAATCTCGGTTATTTTCCTACGCTTCACCATTTTCATTATTAATGTTACTCTGAGCTTCACTTCTTTTGCATTGAACTGGAATCTTTGGAAGATTTTACATGATTAAACAAGCGAATTTATAACTACTTATGAACTTTCTTCTTCTTTTATGTAATTTAACAAAAGAACGTATTTAATAGTTGTATATATATAAATATGTTTGTATTATTTTATCTGAAAATTTCACCATTTAATTTATGACCAATTAATTGCCCAGTCCATGTTAGTCCAATGCCATCAGCAGTCATTTGTATATGCCCAACAAAAAAGGGTTTATAGGTATTATCTCCTCCTTAAATTCTTTCCTTGTATAAAACATAAAAGTAATGCAGTTCAAGCAATATCATATAAAAAAATAGCAATACTGTTATATCTTACAGAAGGAAGTATTTGTAACGATGGATTATCAATTAAGTTAGTCACTGCTCGCTTGTTGCGTCTCTCATTTATTCCGATTTTATCTGTTATATCCCTTATAGATTCCTCAATGCTGCTCAGTAGTGCATCTGTATCATCTTGTAGCTGTTCTAAGTTCGTGCTACAAAAATTATAACTCTATTGGTTTTAATTTGTTTTCGAAGGATATGCTAGCACTAGAATTTACTTACAGTTGTGTAGAAAGAGACTTTGCCTGTTCGCGACAACTGAACCCCCATATATCATCGAGTGGTGTCGAGATAACTGAATTTATTTGGATTTTATTCAAATTTCGAGTATTTTCGCACGCAGACATAAAGCATACCATTGTAGCAAATAAATTTTCCACATTCATATTTCCTACGATTGTCTGAATGATCTATTCTCTTGAAATTTTTATACCAAACTAACTGATTGTTTTGTGGAGATCTATTGGCAGAGTCAGAAGGTAGTATATATATATATGTGTGTACGATTCAACATAATCTCGCGCCTCTCCCAGCAAACTGCAGATTATATAAATTTATGACAAACAGACTGATAATTGATGAGAGCTAAGAAAAGAGCTCTACAGAGACCGTTGCTCAATAAATGTGTTGTAGGATTGATCAGTAAGTAATAGACATTTCAAAAGTGAAAAAAGAGAAATGAAATATTAAGAGAACAGGCCAAATATTTATTACATTTACTGTAAATTTTTTTTTCAATATTTTTATTTTTTTTTTATTCACATAAACATTTAGCAGTTAAAAATCGTATCGTACCTTTTATGACCATATCAAATTTATAGTATTCCATTTCAGATATAAAATTTAGCTGTCATATATTAACAAATCGGTTATATGAGGCTTTAAGATGTAAAAAGTTCTTTAATTTCGGTGTAAGATATTTATGTTTATTTGTAGATACGGGTGTTAATACCGGATTTCACGCTCTTAGATGCTTTTTTTTACAAATTTACGCCCCAAGTTCTTGAACTTGCAAAATCGATGCATCGAATTTGGCAACTCCGACAAATGATCATTTATAGGGTTTTCCAATAAGAGGTGTTATTTTGATATTCAAAAATTCACGAATTCCATCTTTGAGTTCCTGAATCAACGTTCGCTTGTTGGCGTAGACTTCATTTTTCATGTAGTCCCAAAGTAGGTAATGGCAAGATGTTAGAGCACAAGATAAATAACCCTTCAATTTCGGCCAAAAAGAAAATCATTAATCATCCCTCGATAGTGCAATCCACTCACCGTAACTGTTGCTCCAGCCCCTTTTTCTGAAAAGTAAAATCCCATAATCCCGCTGTAACAGGTTTTTCAACTATATATATTTTTGGTTTTCTGACCCCTAGATATAACAGTTTTGCTTATCGACGTAGCTATCGAAGAGGAAATGGGTCTCATCAGCCAGGAAGATTTTCCGATGCAACTCCGGGTCATTTCAGGCCTTAAGGCTCAAGTCTTTATTCAAAATATGGTGTAATGACGTTTGTGGAATGCCCTGATCCAAAGAACAACGAAGAATGGACTAACCTGGGGTTTCTTCAATACTTTGAGCAACAGCTTCAATATTCTCACGATTTTCTATATTGCGGTCCGACAAGGTGCTTCACCAGTTTCTAGGGGAATTTTAATAAATTCAATGCGTTGTTGAAGAGTGCATCGTTCCATTTCATTACTAGTATAGTTCTTACATGTCAAATCGCAAACAATTACAACCTCAGAAGTGGCATCTACTGGAATAGCTGGATATTCAAAAGAACAACTATTATTGGAGCAGTGGGACTCGTTTTCGTATAAAAAATGGAAAAACCTAAAGACGGACATGACTAAATCAACTCAGCCCGACATTCTCTTCATATCGGTAAACCAAACCAGAGTTATTTTCAATGAACATTGTTTCGCAATGGAGGGACCAGTAAGTTTGGTATTTGTACCTGAAAAGCATTAGTACACTATAGACCATTGGCAAAAAATAGTGTTTTACGCTCACAAGTAAGCCAGCCTCTAATTTAATGGATTTTATAATACATCTTTTAGAAATATGAAACTTTAAACTGTATATACCAAAATGGTCGGAATGACGAGCGATCTTCATTCAACTTAGGTAGGTGGAAGCGAGTAGCGGCTCGGTAATAATGCCAAGAAAAAATTTACCTGCTTCTATGTTTATGCTATTTTACTTTAGTTTTAATTCACTTTATATTATTTTATTTTATATTATTTTATTTTATGTTGTTTGAATTTTTATTTTATTTTAATATTTTTATGTAAGTATATTTTATTTCATTTTATTTTCTTTTATTTTTTTGTTTTATTGTGATTTAATTCAATTTAGTTTATTTTATATTTTATATTTTTTATATAAATTTATTATTTTATTTTGTTTAATTTTATATTGTTTTTTTCTTTTATTTTGATTTATATTAATTTTTCTTATATTACTTTATTTTATTTCATTTTATATTAATATATTTTTTATTTTATTTAACTTTTTAATATTACTTTATTTCATTTCATTTTATTTTCTCTTATATTTTTAATTTATTTTATATTTTTTTACTTTGTTTTATTTTATTTTATTTTATTTTTTATATTTTTTTTATTTAATTTTATTTTTATGTTTTTATTTTATTTTTCTACTTAATTTTTTTCTATTTCGTTTTATTTATTATCTTAATTTTCGTTTATTTTAATTTATTTTATTTTATTGAATTTATTTTATTTTCATTTATATTATTTTATTTTATGTTATTTTTTTAATTAGGTTAGTTTATTCCATTTTATTTTAATTTATATTATTTTATTTTAGTTTAGTATAGTTGAATTTAATATAATTTATTTTATTCCAATTTATTTTAGTTTGATTTACATATTTTAATTTAATTTTATTATATTTTATTTTCTTTTAGTTTAATTTTACTTAATTTATTTCATTTTATTTTATGTTTTTTATTTTATTTTATTTATTTTTATTTAATTAACTTTTATTTTATTTTAATTTATTTCTTTGATATTTTATGTTTTATTTTATTTATTTTCTTTTATTTTATTTTATTGTGATTCCTTAATTTTATTTTAGTTTTTATCATTTTATTTTATTTTTTTTATTAAATTTCATTTTGCTTATTTTCAATTTTAAATTTTCTTTTCTTCTATTTTATTTTATTTTGCTTATTTTCAATTTTAAATTTTCTTTTCTTCTATTTTATGTTATGTTTTTTTATTTTATTTCATTTTTCATTTAACGATATTTTTTATTTAGTTGAGTTTATTTTTTTGTATGTTATTTTATTTTATTGTAATTCATTTTATTTTCATATACTTATTTTTATTTATATTTAATTATATTTTATTTCATTTTATTTTTTTTTCTTTTTTTATTTTATATTATTTCATTTAATATTTTTAATTAAATTTATATTATTATTTTTTACGTTTTTTTAATTTAGTTTATGCTATTTAATATTATATTATTTATTTTTTTATATTTTATTTTATATTATATAATATAATATTTTTTTTAAGTAATGTTTATTTTTTTTTATCAATGTTAAATAATATTTTTAGTTATTTCCTTTCAAAGCAAATACTTGTATACAATTGTTACAATATTTCCATAAAAATGAAGCGAATATCCGCGTGATAGAAAAGTATAACACCAATTAAGTAAATTGACCTTACCACCATCTCTAATAAGGTATGTAGACCCCAACCAAATTGGTCCTATATTTCTTTCTTTCATAAAAATATTCCGGTTTCTCTAATTTTTTTAATATACTCTAATTTATTCCTCGTGCTTACAAGTTTTGAAAAATAAAAAGCTATTATAATTCTTCAAACCATTTATTTCTTTTTCAAAAAGAGCTTCCAACTCTTAATGCTTGTTGCTGTAAGGGTCTTCTTCTCAATTAACTCGTTTAATGGGATATCTGTCATACTGCTAATCGAACGTGGAATTTGTAATTTTTTACCATCGAATTCGAATTCCGGAATATAACGGAAATGTTCCATGCCATCTGTGTCAATGTATACGAAGAGTAGATCAAAAAGTTTCCTGCTAACGAACTGTAAAAGCTTAATTTTGCCAATAAAAAAATCCATATCACTCTTTATGCAATCCTCGTTGCAGGGAATGCCATTCAAAAACTTTTGGTATAGCTCACGTGTTAGAGGTTTTTGGCCACGTCCAATTAAGAATAAATTTTTCGAATATCTGTTATCCTCACAAAACAGCTTACCGATGGATTTGTCCTCACAATCATAGGGCATCATTGCGAGTGCTATTTGCTCTTTTCTGTAAAGCATTAGATCATATACATATATATATTTTCTTTTTTATTGGTAATTAGTCAACAATTAACTTATTCTGCAGGTCGTATTGAACTCCTAAAAGGTCAGTTTGTGCACTTTCTAGTAGTTGGTTCCATCGTATTAGTAATTCCTCTGCCTTCACAATGCTGCATAAATATACATATGTACTATATACTTTAAATACAGCGATATGTAATATTTACTTACTTAGAAATAGCGTTGTCAAATTCGTGACATGGCTGCATTATATGTATGTATAGAATAAACATAGTAAACTTATTTTGAGGCTAACCAACTACAGCATATTTTGCTCAGATGCTGAATAAACATATTTGCGTATGTGTGAATGGATATTCAAGAAACTAGATATTTATCAATTTTCTATTTTTTTTTTATAAAAATTTCAATTTATAATTTTTGTTCAGATGGCGCATCACAAAAAAAAATCGGATTTAAATGTTCGAAAAAATTTAAATTTCAATTAAAATAGAAACATTATGAGCATTACGAATATACATATACTAAGCAAAGCGAGGCAAAATATGCTATATTTTTATTATTCACATTAAACACCTTTGGATTGTCTCTTTGATATACATCTTTTGATGATAACAGATATGTTAACACGGTGAATGTTCGTTCCAAAGAATTGCTTTGATACATTTCAATATGTCTTTCACGCGGTGATCAGAAACCACAATGCAGCAATACTCTGTAATAGGCTTTCGAATTCGACTGAGCTTTAATTATAGGAATTTACTCTCATCAATAATTGGAAATATACATACATCTAGACATACATAAATACAGATATATATGAGTTGAAATGTACTCTTATATAGAGGTAGTCGCTGATTGTGAGCGCTCTGAGATAGATAGACACCTATCAACAATATTAACCGTATACAATATGCATACACGTATATATGAATATATATATATGGCTCATTTAATTCACTACTGTCACAACTCAAAAAATTTAATTCTAATTTAAATTTTCTTCTTTTGAAATATATGTACATACGTATAAGAAAAACATAAAATTTAAAAAAAAAAAAATCGACATGTAATGCACAAGTAAAGGGTTTTCCAATAGTGGAGTGTTATTTGTAGCTGTAATTTTGGAGCATTGGACAAGTGGAAACTACGCTAGAAAGAAAAATGGAACGATAAACGCTTCAAAACGCATTGAAATTCACTACAAAACTGATGAAAAGCTAGCAGAGACGCTTCGTAAAACTAAAAAATTTCAGTCGATGTGAAGCATCTTGTCGAGCCGCAGTGCAGATATTGTGGAAAAAATGGAACTGTGGGCAAAATTTACAGATGTGAAAAATAAAACAAGTGCACGTCGTTCAAGAACAACTGAGAATTTTATTGAAGAAAACCCGGTTTTGTCCATTACAAAGCGATGATTCCTCCTCCTTCTTTAGGCATTCCACAAATGTCATTACACGGTATTCTTCATAAAGATTTTAGCCTTAAGGCTTACAAAGTTCAGTTAATATAAAAACTCAGGCCGGTTTGCTAATTTACTCCTTGAAATGTATGAAATGAATTTCAACGAAAAATCGTCTTGACCTAGGAGACCCATTTCCACTTAGATGGCTATGTCAATAAACAAAACTGTCGCATCTGGGGCTCGTAAAACCTAAGATGTATTGTTGAAATGCCTCTCCATCCTCAACGCGTAACGATTCATGGTCAGGTAAGGTCATTGGATCTACTTTTTCCAAAACCAGGCTGAAGCAAGAGTTGTGGTGAATGGACGGCGCCGGATTTGACATTCACCTTTAGTAGACCAATTCACCGAATAAGTCGTAGTTGTTCCATTGAGGTTTCCTCTCTTTCAGCCATGTCTCAAGGCTATGACGCATCTGCCTCTACGACAACACTAGAAGCTCCATCAGAATCGAGAAGAACCTCTGCGAGCTGTTCGATACCAAACGAGGTTTCAGACAAGGTGATTCGTTATAGTGTGATTTTTTTTAACTTTTTACTGAAGAAACTAATACGAGTTGCACAGCTGAATAGGGAAGGTACAATCTCCTATAAGAGTGTACAGCTGCTGCCGTACACCGATGATATTGATATTGTTGACCTCCACAACCGCCCCGTGAGTTCTTCTTTCCCCAGACTGGATAAGGGAGCGAATGATATGGATTCGGTAGTGCAAGAAGAAAACTCAATATGTCTCCTGTCATCAAACAAATAGTCATTACACTCGCCACCCGGCTCCCACGTTACTGTTAACAGTCATAACTTTGAAGTCGTCGATAAATTCGTCGATCATAGAACCAGTATTGACTCCAACAACAACAACAGCTTGGAAATTCAACGCAGGTGCTTTTCCGGACTGAGAAGACAATTGTAAAGTAAAGTCCTCTCTCGACGAACGAAAACCAGCTCCACAATTCGCTTATCGTTCCCGTCCCGCCGATATTGGCTTAATTTAGCTAATAAAAAAAACAGCGGATGCTCAAGCTGGGTCATGTGGGCCGGTTGGGTCAGAATATTTTAGCTTTGAAAGTTATCGAAGTAGTACCCGCCGGTGGAAGAAGAAGAAGAGGAAAGATCAAGTGGAGAATGGCCTGGCTGTACTTGGTGTAATTGGCACCAAGCTGAGGAAAGAAGAAATTAATGGCGCAATATTGTTAACTGGGTTATAATTGCGTAAGCAATGTCTACACCAGTAAAGAAAGAGTGCCGTGTTTTGGAGTAAAAAGAGTTACAAAATTATTGTAAGCCTCATAACGGAGGTATGTGTCCAGATTATATATTCTTACCTAACATTCAATCTCTAAGGAATAAGACTTTATGCGAAACTGTAAGCCAATAACAACTTGTTCTACATAAGCGCATTTAACCTACAAGTTTTGAATACTTTTTAAATTATTTTTTTATTTTTTACATAGATTTGATTCAAAATAAATATAAGCGCATATATAAAGTGCAAAGATTACTTTTTGAGGCAACAACACTTCCATGTTTTTTTCTTTGCTCTTATTCTCATTCTATATACCAGTCAACTGGGAAACAACACCCAATTCTGCTCTTCTTAGATAGATTGTGACATCAGTATTTAATGTCAGTTTTAGTTTCTCATTCACAGCCAGTGCATGCGCCAATAAGCCAAGTGGTTTATTGAGTCGATTGGATTTATGCTCACCCAACAGCTTCACTTTATTATTCCCACCAAAAGCCACATATTGATAATAATCGTACCACTGTTGTTTACTGCTAGTCTCCGTCTCCACAATAAGCAACTCACATAGTTGACTGTCTGTGATGGCTCTGAGTTTTTCGAAACCAATAAAATATTCTCCCGAAAAATGACCGATGCTATTTTCTTCCGACTCTGTGGATTTCTTAAGAAACAGCTTACCATTGAAATTACGTTTAGCGACCAAGAGCCAGTTGTTGCCAAATTTATTGCTTACACACCACACGGAAAAAGTAGCAAGGATTTGGGGCACTTTCATAAGGACTTCTCCGAATTGCTGTTTTGAACAACCAATCGAATTGGTGTTGCTGCTTTGCATGTAAATACGAGAGATGAAATCATTATCAACTCCAAATTGATTAGTTATGACATTCAACACACTACCTGAGATGAGCTTTAAATGCACTTAGTTTAAGTTGAGTGGAATTTATGCGATTCTTTATTAGCATTTGGTTATTCATTACTCTATCCATGCTGTTAAATATACAAGTTTTTAAGGTTTTTTATTTTTTTTTTTTATTTATGTTTTTTATTTATCATACTCATCTGTTAGATTTGCCATTTCTGATGCCCTGCAGTGTGCCAATACATTCTATGATGAATACAAAAAGTAATATTTAATTATCTTCACATATATAAAACAAACATTACGCACTTTATCGAAATCCCCACGCTGTAGACTTGATAAGTCAACTCCCTTCGAATTTAATTGTATATAGTTTTCTGGCGTTGCAAGCAAAATGCTTAGGGCCATCAACACCTTATCGACGGGTATAGGCTGCATACCTCAGAAAAAAAAAGAAAACACACTTTTAAGACCGATAAGCAGAAAATTTTTTATTTTGTTTAAACACACCGAAGGAATGTATGCTACTAAAGCTTCATCTGCATCGCGCCCAATGAAAACACTCTATTGCGAGAACGTTTGGGCGCATTATCACTCATCTATAGAAGTATACAAATGAGATTAATAATTTCGAACTGTTAATGAAAATCAGTGATGCCGCATGAAATATAGGGTTATCCAATACATGGTTTCAAAGGTATAGTGTTACATTTTGGCATCTGTTAAACCTAACTTTCAAACCAAATATGTTTTTTTTTTTTTGCTTAGAAGACAGACACTTATGAAAATGGATTGCTCGACAATCGCGAAACGCGATATAAAAATGGTAACGCCTTAAGATGGCATTATGATTCAATTATTTATTCAAATACTCAAGTAATTGGTTAATTTTTAAATAATTTCGAGGCAACTGAATCGGTAACAAATATTGTAAAGCTTGTCCATCAACGCTTTGCTCGTTCCACCAATATCGCTACTGTAAATAAAAGTGTAGCCGAAGAACCGAATGCGTCTATTCCTCGACATTCTCAAGAGCTCAGAGTTTTGTAAGGCGTATTTTGCACCTGAACTTATTCCTACATACATAGTATAAAGTTTAGTTCACATAATAACTAAAAGCCGGTTAATGATTTACAACGTCGTATATACCGTCTATTGGATGATCGACCAACAAGCAGTCGGCGGCTGTTTTCGGACAAACTTTTTTTTACGGACAAGACAAATTTATTACTCAACGGATATGCAAATAAGAGAAATTTCCACTTTTGGAACCCTGAGAATCTCGAAATAATTGCAGACAGGTTAATACAACAATAGAAAACTTGCTTTCTGGTGCTTTCCTTGATGAAGAGGTGTGATTGGATCTTACTTTTTTGAAAACGATACTGTCCCTGTCAGGGTCAAGTGATATCCGACTTTTTTTTTACCTGGAATTGGAGACATGACTTGAACAATATGTAGTTTCAAGAAGATACTTCCACATGCCAAGCGAATAAAACTTTACTGTGAGAGAAACTTCACGACCGCGTAATCTCTCGTCTTGGCTATGTCAATTGGCCACCGACATCGTGCGATTTGACAACGTTGGACCTTAATTTCTTGTGGGACTATGCAAAAGACTGTTCTTATGCTGATAAGCCTTTAACTCTTAAGCACATGGAAACCAATGGACCATTTGAGGCGCAGTTACGGTCAAAATTTGCATGAAAAAATCTTCAAACATTAAATTATATGGACCTTACTATAGATTCAAATAAAGGTTTCATGCATTTTTCTTGAATTTTTTGTGTTTTTTTTAACTTTCCTATAGCTCTCAAAACAATCACCCTTTATTATGCTAAGCCGGTAAATTTCTCTTTTGGAACTGTAACTTTTTGACATTTGACAAGTAAAAAAAATTGACAGTAATAAGAATGGAACGGTACACGATGCAACAATGCATTGAAATATTAAACTTCACTAAAAAAATTTCATCAAAAAAACATCTTGAATGATGAGGCCCATTCCCACCTCGACGGCTACGTCAATAACTGTCGCATCTGTGCCTCTGAAAACCCAAAATGTTTAAAAGCCTCTCCATCTTCAACGTGTTACTGTTTGGTATCGTTTATGGTCCAGCGGGACCTTACTTTTCCGAAAACGATTGGATTGCGATATCGAGAGTTTATAAGGGATTTCTTATGGCCGGCATTGGATGGTATTGATCTGGGCAACGTTTACTATCAACAAGATGGTGCTACATGCCACACAAGCAATGAAATTATCAAAATTCAAAGAGAAAAAATTCTTTGAATATCAAAAGAACACATTTTTACTGGAAACCCCTTTCTAAAGACAAGATTCAGTTTATAAGAAAAAATTATTTTCATGAAAAAATTATTTATTTCTATACGGTTTTTTGCGTTTATTTTCGAAACCACAAAATGAATAACCTTGTGAATAACATGAACATTTTTGTTGGAACTCTTGCATTATCTTACAATGAAAAGTCATAAATTCTTTAATATTCCTTAACGAAAAGACGTTTCTTTTATTAATTAACCAATTTTAGAAGAAAATAATTTTTTTTAAACCAAAACTAAATAAAAATAATTTTAAGCTTAAATTGCTTTTTTTCAATTTTAAAATTATTTAAAGTTGACTATAGAGTTCGGAGCGTTTCAATATCTCTTTAAATTGCCCTTAACTACGCCACATAAGTTCGAGGCAATCGTCAAGATAACAGCTGACGCGTTTTCATCAATGTATATACATACAAATACACATATATATATTCATATACATATGTGCATAAAAATGTATGCAAAGTAAAATTTTGGCATATATTGCACAGCGGCTTCATATTAACTCGATATTAAACTCATGTAAGTGTTATAATATACATAATGTTATGTAACATGTGTAACCATCTAGCTTTGAAGGTGCCGGCATCGTGCACTTGTTAAACCAGCAGACGTCAAAAGAAGTGCGAATATGTAGTACATATGTAAATACATTAAGCACAAACAGACGATATCATTTTGGTAACTGTATGGAAGTCACTGCTTAACGATAAGAACAAGTTAAGTGATATCAAACCATTATGTCTGCGTGCTGATGAGAAATGCGGGAAAGGCAAAGCAATTTCAAAATTAACAAGAAAGGCAGAACTAAAGTCCATTTACATAATCGAGGTTACTATGTGGGAGTAAAAATTTGTTTTATTTGCATTTAAATATATATTTATATTTATATATATATATTTTAATATTTTAATAATATTAATATTAAAATGGTAACACGTGTAGACAGTTTTGAGAATAAAAAATATTATATCATTCGGATGTATTTATAAACTTCTTCTGCCGGAAAACAAAAACTTCGAAAATTAAATCTTTTGGTCCTTATAGCCGCTGAAGCGATTTTCGGCCGAACTCCTAATCCTAATTATGGTATGCTTTTTTATATTTTTCCAAGTAATTTATTACAATAGATTTTATTCTAAGCAGCCTCCAAACGACTAATGGATTTTTTTATTTCGTATCCGAAATACACTCCGACGGCTTGACATTCCTTGGCGAGGGGCGACTGTAATTAGCAGAATTAATTTTCCATAATTTTGGAAGTTGGTCAAAGCAGAACACGAACCCTAGCATACCTTTATTGATTCACATAAAATAATAGAATTATTTATTTATAACTGCCCATTAACTTTAATTTTTCGTTATTTCAAGGGCTCAAACTATGAATATACAGAATTGCCCATTTTGCGGGTTCGATAATAAACGTAAATAAATTTCATTTAAAAACATTTTTTTTCATGAAAATTCTTTTTTGTTATAAACTTGTACTTTGCCATTATATGTGAAATAGGAATTTTTCCAAACTTCGATGCCTTTGAGGTGATTTCCGCCCACTTTTGGTACATATTGACTCATGACTTGATGAATGTTGGTTTTTAAGTGCTGATAAAAAAAATAAACACGGTTTTTCTCATGAGTTCCAAGAAAAAAAGCCCATCGATATCAAGTCGGACGATCTCGATAGACAATAGACATCGCCAAGACGAGAGATTAGCAGGGTGGGAAATTTCTCTTGCAATAAAGCCATATTCGGTCGTGTTTCGGGTATGTGGCACTATCTTTTTAGAACCACATATTGCTCAAGTCGTCTTCTTCAAAGTTAGTCCAAAAAAAGTCGGTTGTTGTTCTACCATAACGCTCCGTATTGAAAATGGCAGTGATTTTCTTATCGTTTTTAAAGAAATAAGATCCTCCACACCAAAGAATGCACCAGACAGTAAGTTTTATTTTATTGTAATGGCCTCTCTTCAACAATTTGGAGATTCTTAGAGCCCCAAGAGGGGAAATTGTGCTTACTTATATACCCGCCAAGTGACAAATTTGTCTTGTCTCTGAAAAAATTGTGTCCAAGAACTGCCCCTACTGCTTGACGGTATGTACGGCGTTATAGATCATCAGCTGGCTTTAGTGTATGTAGGCGTAAGCTCAAGTGCTAAATACGTCATAATGTACAGTACGAAAGTCCTAGCTTTTGAGAAATAGACACATTCGGGTCTTTGATTACAATTTTAATTACATTAGCGAGACTTCAGGTGGAGCGAGCAAATTAAGGATGCAGAGGCCTTATAATATCTTTAACCGATTCAATGGCTTCGGATTTCTTTAAAAATTTACCAAATACTTGAGTTTTTGAACATTTATTTGCATCTCTTAAATCAAGGTGCGCGGCCAAAGCTTGAATCACCACTTTTGTAGTGGTTCTATCAATTTGAACACAATGTGCGACTATTGAGTGATCCTTTTTCTTAAATGCCTGACTTTTAACTAAACCAAAACATGTTTGGTTTCGACAGTTACGATTATAGGATGTCAAAATACAGCCCTGAATTTTTGAACCCAATAAATATTATATATTTATTATTTCTCAGTTTTTATTCATTGCCAAATTTTATCAAAAATATTTATCCAAATTTTTTATCCCAGCACTTCTCATTACACAAAAGTACACATATTGTATATAGCCGGATATAGAACTCATAGAAAATGTATGGGATGTATGAGATCATTTGCTTAAAAGTACGCCAATTCGTATATACATATGTATACCTAGTGCAGTCTTCCAAGTATTTCTGCTGGCGTTCGCTTAAGCCAACTCCCTAAACACGAATATCCTGTTAAAAAAAAGAGCGTACCTATAATGTGAGGCTTAGACTGTTAGTTAAAACCAGTAATAAAAACTAAAATATAAAAATATAAAAAAAGCCAAACATTGACCTTAAGCTACGAGAAATAATTCGCTACCAAACAACACCGTCGTTCACAGTTTGAACTGAGCGTCGGTAATTTATAGTCATTCCCTCAGCGTTCATACACTTGATTTATTGCTGTTATTGAAAAATTCCCTCGTAATTTTATTTCAGCTTTCATTTAGTTGTTGGTGTTTTATACATACATACATATATACCTATATTTTTTCAGATTCGTTGTAGTAAGAATGGTGGTGAAAGGAAAGAGAGCAAGCAGT